ATATATACTATGCCTGCACTTACAAAACAAGACGAGAACCTAATACAATAGGCCTTAGATAATGGTATAGAAGCCTACCTTGTCGTCAAAATGCTACTTAGCAACTATCGTAGCTCGCGGACTGCTATTTAGAACCGGATTACGAGGTAGAAGAAGATAGCGACTATATTTCTAGCAAAAGGTAGAAGGCCGTATATTATAATACCGGCTATACGTAACGATCTATTAGACTTCCTAACAATAAGAAGTATATACTAGCTCGAAGAGATATAGATAATATTGCTAGAAAATCACTAAGAATAGGTCTCACAATCGACTATTAGTCGCTGTCTTAGCAGTAGTAACTTTATACACAAATTGCTGTCTCGTACGGCTTTATAAAGAGACCCTATTACAAGGGCACTATTTAAGGCTAAGTTACAGTTATTTACGGCCTTCTAGATTGTATGCCTTAACGAGTCTTATGCTTTAGACAAGACAGCCCTTCGAAGGCGTAGATAGTTACTAAGAGGTATACTAGTAAGGGATGTCTAGCACCTATACTATTTGCAGCGATATACGATCCTTCTAGTATATACGATTAATAGCTATCTTCCGGAGCTACTAATATAGCAAGGCAGTGTTAATAGTAAAGACTTTATAGCATTCGTACGCTATCGAGTATGCTACGTTATACGCTATATCTAGGTCTACGGTTAGTTATACTACTAGACAACTATAGTACCTATTTAAGAGCTATTCTAAAGGAAATATGCTTAGCTAAGGGTGTATACCTGCTCTTCCTTCTACTATATTCGCCTAACTATAACGCTATTAAATTGAGCTTTAAGTACCTAAAGCACTAGATTAAGAAGCACTAGCAGACAATGCCTAAATATAGGTTACCTTACTAGTAGGCAGACTTCTAGGCATACCTAGAATTAGTATATAAGCGATAGGGTAACAATATTGATTACCTAGCGCAGTTCAAGCACTATAAAGTGCTCGAGAAGCTATATAAATATAGTCTAATACTGCCGGCGGAGATATAGAATAGGAGGCAGTAATTGCGATATACGTTAAATTCTAGCTCGATTTGTATGCGGAGTGCTAAGACCTTTTATACTATAGTAAACCAATACTATATTCTCTTCTAAGGAACTTCTAACGGTTGCCGTTTATGCTATTGCTACTAGAAGTCATTATATCGTCTCTTAAAGGCGTAGCAATTTCGAGGCTTAGCACGTCGGAGCAAATTTCAAAATGTCCGACATTTAGCTAAATACTACATATTATTATAACAACACTACATTATTAATATTATAATAGCCGGCAATTCAATAATAGGGGCGGCGCTATTATATAAAAAAACAACGATATAAATCGCATGTATAGTTATAGTATAATCTATCGACAACTAAAATTAATATTATCGGCTAAGCTTAAAGGTAGTAAGGAAAGCGGAGGTAGGGCTTAGAATAGCAAATTTGATGTCAAACATTTAGCTATTAAAAATTCAATACCTATATAGCGCTAGAAGTCAACTATACTCTATCTAAATCAATCTATATAAAGTACGCGGTCTACTTATAGTATTACCTCTTGTACCTCTAAGGTATAGAACCAAAATCGGATAGGTAGTTATAGTGATCTAGATAGCTAGGGTTAGCAAAGCTAGCTTGTTATTATGTCGGCTTCGTACCTCTTAATTTCGGCTACTTTGACGTATTATAGTAAAGTCTATAACTCGCTTACGAAGCGCCTATCTAATGCCGAAGGCCGGCACTACTCTCGCTAACCTATTCTTATTCTCTTAGCGTCGTAGTTGTCTCAAATTCTAGGCATTATCTATAATAGCTTTAGTAATGGCCTCCTGCCTATCCTGCTATATCGGATACTATTAGAAGAACTAGACTAAGAAGAGAGGTGTCTCTATATAGTTACCTAATATAGTGCTAATATCCGGCGGCACTAGCGAGCTACGGAGCTGTTACTATAGTATAGATTGGACCTGCTATTAAGGTTGCAGAGCGCTTATAATAGCAGGGTTAGCTATTATTAGCTAAAACAGTATCGGGTTAAACTGTTGCTACTATTGCTACTATTGCTGCTATTGTTGTTGCTAAAGCAAGGCTATAAGCAAGATAGACTCGCTGCCGCTACTGCTATTGCTAGTCGGTTGCTGTCGCTCGGCAGTAAGAGCGCCTATAAGACTGTCGATTATATACTGTTGCTAAGAAGCCTTATTCTTCGTAGAAGCGGCGGTCTTAGCCTATACGTATTCTTCGTAAGAAGCGACAATCTTGTCGGCAATCTCTATAGGCATATAGTATAGAAGAGCGCTATTAATTCGGACTATATTAGCAAATTCCTTTGCGTAAGAGCCTATTACACTATAATAGACTCTACGGCGCTTGTAATAGCCAATTCTACGACCTAACTGCTTGTTGTCGTACTAGTAATTATTGTATTTAAACTACTTAAATACTGTCGAGAATACCTCGTCGTCTTTACGGCATTCTTCCTTCGTCTTATTATTAGTGTTCTTTCGGCTATTCTTAACCTAAGAGGCTAGTTGTAGCGGCTCTAGTAGATCGCTATCAATCTTGACAAACTAATTACTATTTAGTAGAGTTAATAGTCGATTAGGCATAGCAACGCGCTTATAGCTCTTAAGGACCTTAATAACATAGTAAGTGTTAGCATTAGCGCAATAGCGCAGGAACTCAGCTACCTCTTTATAATAGTCGTCCTCGTAGATAATATTATAGAAAGTCTTCGAGCGCTTCGGTATAAATAGCCGTATATAGTAGATAGTAAATACACGGTCTAGCTGTTATTGTAAGCCAAGCCCTTCTACAAAAACCTATAAGGCTACTCTATCTTCAACCTTCTATATTAACTGCGCTATCTTATTATTATTTAGCCTCGAGTAGGCAAAGTCTATATTATTATCTTCTAGTATATTATTTATAGTTATAATATTGTGCTGTTTGCCGTATAATCGATACTAAACGATCTATATAAGATCTGCGCTAAAGGGCTTCTTGTTCGCTCGTAGCTTCGGCGTTAGTATAGCTTTAGGCGTGCGTAAAGTCGGTCGGCGTCGCGAGCTGGCTTCTAAGTACGATTTCTTAATAACGCTATTAGATGTCGATAACAGCTTAGCAGAAGGTTTATTAGATAGGTCGGCGCTATTATTCTGCCGTTTAGATAATGTTTTGCGGGTCTTGTTTCGTAGTGTTTTGCCCTTAGTCGATTTCCGCTTGCGTAAAGAAGCTAGCTTTACGCCCGTAGCTAGTACCTTCGGCGCCTCCGTAGGCGACTAGTCCTTCTTAATACTCTGTCTTATATAATGCTAACCCCCCTTAGCGGGTATACTAGTTCTACGAGACGCTAGTTTTAGTACGATTACTAGCCTCGGCGGAACTGTCTTCCTACGAATAGAAGGCTCGGAAATAGTAGAGAGAGGTAGTATTTAGGAGGTCCTCTCTAGGTTAGAATGCACTAGTTCTACCGCTCCTTTCGACCGTATATATATTATAGGCTCGTCGTTACTTGTCTCTTCGCCTAGCAATCTATTCTCTTTATCGTCGTCGTTGTTACTATCCTTGTTATATAAAGAGTTAAGCTACTAGCTAAACCGCAAGCCGTCGTCCTATATAGACAGATTGTCGAATACTTCTTAGGTACGTAGAAGATATACTTCTCGTTAGTATAGTTGCTCGTTAAACGGAATAGCATTAGGCGGAAATAGTGTATATTGTTGCTATAGAAACTAGTATTTAAAGTCGCGTTATATAAACGGGGGCGGGTTAGGAATTTAGGAAGAGTCTATAGGTAGACTACTAGGCAAATCGTTATATTCTATAGTAATACTGTCTCTGCTATTAGACTAAGTCTTGGCAATAGTATTATAATGCATTCTACGCGAAAAACGCATATAGAAACGTAGTATAGTAGTGTTGTTATATAGAGTTCTATATAGGTTAGTAGTGCTCGAATCCCCGCCTCGGAGCGTCTAGGCCCTTTTGCAAGCTAGAATATGCGGCCGGAAAGGCCCGTTAGCGGACCGCTCTCGGTTATGCTCTCCGGATACGATAATTAGGCTAGGTTAAGCCTTATATAACGCAATAGGACCCTAAACAAGCAGTAATAGCATATGCGGTACTACGGAAGCAACTAATACCTCCTATAATCTATCTTCTTCCTTTATAACAATACTACTAATACACTCCTTCTTTATCGCTATTGCCGCTAAGGTATTACGAGCGCGCTACGTAGAGAGCTCTTCCGTAAACTTACAATCCTCGCCGCTACGTAGTATATATAGGTTACAACTATATAGATCCGTATACCTAAAGTACCTCGCCCTCTCTTCTACCCTTCGAATCCGATTACGATATACCTCGCACCGACAGTCTACTAGATATACTAGTATATAGTTACCCTCCTTTCGAATATACTCCTCGAAAGCGCTCGCCTTCTTCGCGTAGATATCGAGCTTAGCGTTCTTTACGATTAGTCGGTGCTTAATAGCCTAGTATTCTTTGCTAAGGTCTCGATAAGCCTTACTAAGGCCTTTAATAGCCTTCTCGGAAGCCCTTATCTTAGCGGACTAGTCTTCGAGCTACTATAGTGCCTTTAACGTCTTCCTAGGGTTCTACCGAAGCCTCTTAGTAATAGGCTCTTCTTCTAGTATATAGTTACGCTTAATTTTAGGCTTAGTCTTAACAATAGGCTCGACTACTAGCGGTAGTAGTATTATTAGTAGCGGCGGCAATATTAGCGATAACGAGCCTTTAGACTCGGAGTCTAATAACTACGTACGACTTAGCACTACTATTTATATAATAACAACATCGACCTTCTTCTACCTCGATTACTTCTACGCGTTTGCCGCCTATCCTCGAAAGTATATTATATAAAGAAAGAGCCTAAAATACTGCAAATTCGGATATTTATATAGGATCTGTATACGCCGACGTATTGCCTAGTAAATACTTAATATTCAGTCGTATTCAGTGGATCTATATTCAAATTCATATTCAGACTGAATACTGAATACACTAAATACTAAATAATCATTATTTAAACTCTATGTATACCAGGCATGAAGATTTGTCGACTGGCAGGAGACGGGCGGACAGCACTCTCCGCGTGGTGTCTAATGACCTGTACTTCTATGCGAAGGGATCGTAATCTTCGAATTTCTGGTCCATCATTTGCCTTGATGGAGGCATATGACTTTCGGTCTCCGATGGATCTGTCTAGAGGAAGAGAGCTACATTACTCCATTCCGATGCGACTGGGCTTCGGGCGCGTGTTTGGCATGTGCTAGCAAAGTCACAGCCGATGCTTGAGCTGAGCGGCGCAGAGGTCATATGTATTTGAAACGGTTGATAATCGCTTTCGAGTCGCTTCCCGAAGTGGTTTGGGAAGAGCACATCTCGGGGATCGCGCAGAAGAAAAGCAGAATGAAATCTTAGAGCGATACTTTGACTTCCCGTGGGACATGCGGTCAGGATGAATATTCTAGTAGGAATGATCAAAATCTGTCGACTGTGCTTAAAGCTTCAAAATGCCATTGAGTCCCGATCATTGCCCTCGAACGCTGCTGAAAGCCGGAAGCCATCCTGCTGTGCCAAGAGCAATGGTGCATACTTCGCTGCGTACGATGACTAGACTCTTACCCTCTAGAATTGCGTTTTGTATAGTACGTGATGCACCCGTGTTGGGCGGCTCCTGCGACCAGCTCTGTGCGACTCAAAGGCGACTTTTCTGTGTCTCGCTTGACTTGGTAGGAGGTACCTGTAGACTATTAATGGCCGGTCCTGGCTCTGCTGGCAGTAGCCTTCAACAGATCAGACCTCGCTCTCTCTTCTGTATCAATGTCTGCGAGTATGAACACCAGCGCTCTTTCTTGCGTTCAGGGCTTTTAGGGAGGATGGAGCACAGACTTTAAGGGTATGTTCGCGTCTGACTGACCTCATTATTATATCAGACAATATCAGATCTCTGGCTTCATCTGCTGCATGGCGGGTCTTGAGACATCCTCGCCGACTTGCTGAGCAAAGGCTTGACCAAAACTGAAAGATAGTTATCTCCTCTTCAGCCAGGATCAGTGTGTGAAGGGATACTCGAGTCTAGGTCTCAGTTCGCTGGCCACTATGCATGCTAGCTGGACCAGGACGGCGTTAGGACTTGGCCTAGGAGGACGGGCTTCTGGGGGCTAAATTGAAGGAGTTCTTCCTCGGTAGATGTACGAGTGAGGAGCAGGAAGCAGAGCACTTTGTTCCACTGCCCGGTAAGGTGAGCTCGAGATGAGGCTGAGATATCTGATCAATCGAAGTCTATAGCAATGGCAGGCATGGTGACAATATCAGCTGCTGTCACACTGACGACGCAGCCTGCTGAGCGAGTGAAGAGCAGAAGCCGTCGGTGTATCTAAGGCCTGGATTATGATATCTGCCTTCCAATCATCTGCACAAGGCCCAGTAGCTGCTGTTGTGCTGCCGTTGGCGGCGATGGCAAGCGAGAGTAGGGAAGTCGACGTTAGCACGGCAATTGGAGTCAACGAGCCTTCCGCAGAGGCTGATGATGCCGATAGGTTTGGCTAGCATCATTCCAGCCACATGCATCTTGCCATTTCCACGAACGCAACCGCGTAGTCCGACGCTCTGCACCTCCTAGCAAATGTCTGGGATGACCTTCTCAGTCCTGGCAGCCACATTGTAAGCCATCATGGCCACATTTGTCAATATGTCTAGCTAATCTCTGCCTTCCACTGTTGTCGTCGTTGACACCCTCTAAGTCCATTCTGCAACAGCGAAGGTTTTCAAGGCGATGCAGTCCTGAGGTCGTGATGGTAGAAGGTGGCCTCTCAATACAGACTGGAATTGGCGTTGGATAGCTTGAGCAGCGTGTGGATGGTGCTTGGGATACATTGCCTTCGCTTTCCGGGCCCAGTCTTGACCGCTTCTAGTCCCTTAATCAACCGCCTCCTCCGCCGCCGCCTTTCTCATTCTGATTGTTCACAGTCCGACCGGAGAGCGGCTTGAATGCAGTCGTTGCAAAAGCACTCCTGCCTCTAGAGTCCAATGTCAGACCACTTCGAATAAGGCTAATCTTCCCCAGCTTCCCATTGCAATGAGATCCAGTCTCTAAGGCTGTTCGCGCAGCAGTAGCAGCAGCAGAAACTGTGCGAAAGCTGCTCATCATAACCTTCACGCCGTGCAGTCGTGGATTCTGCATGCGATCCAAGGTTGGGTTGCATATGCGCCGATGTACGGGAAGCTAGTTGCTGGGTGGTTTGACAAGAGAGCAAGCAAGACGGAGTACTAGGGCGACAGCGAGATGTATGATGTTGAGCTGCCAGCGAGGGACGAGGACTGAAGTATAGAAAGAGGCTCTGTCGATCATTAAGGTAATTTTATCTCTAATACATACTAACGACATCCGATAGCACTGTGAAGGTGTAGAACATAATTGAGCCCCTATCTCTTCTAACTAGGTTGCTATAGGCTAACTATATAGACAGCCTTACTATTGTCGTACGTTTCCGGACACCTTCCTTTAGTAACAAATTACCTTAGCAGTAGCGCTGTCCTCTTTATTTAATTCTCCTACTAACTAGCTACTGCTATACTAACCGTATATTATTTAGGGGATTAAGGTAAAGCCTTTTAAGAATGCCTTCGAACGTAGCTCTCGGAAGCGCCTTTGTAAACATGTCCGCTAGGTTGTCCTTCGTATTAACTCGCGCGATGTTTATCGTACCCTCTGTAACTTGTTCTCGAAGAAAGTAATATCGGAGTTCTATACACTTCGTTCGTAAATAGAACTCTAGGTTCTTCGACAACTTTATCGCGGTATTATTGTCGATATAGAGGGTTACCGCGTCTTAGATAAAGCTAGGAATCCTTAGTTCTTAAAGGAAGTTCTTTAACTAGATAGCCTCCTTCGCGGCTTCTACTACTGCGATATACTCTGCTTTATATATAGACATTGCAATACTCTTTTGCCTCTTCGAGGCCTAGGTAATAGGGCTACTAGCAATCGTAAACGTATAGCTAGTAGTAGATCGCCGTGTGTTATAGCATCCTGCCTAGTTACTATCGACGTACCCTATAAGTTTATTAAGGGAGTAATATAGGATAGCAGTACCTTTAGTCGAGTCGGGATCTCGACTAGTCCGCTTACTTTGCTCTCCTACTCCTACTTAGCTATCGTCTAACTTACTGCTATAGTTCGGTCCCAATTTAGGGTATTTTTTCAGGTAGGCGTAGATGCGTCGTACGGCATCTAGGTAACTTTAATTAGGATTAGAACTGTACCTTAACACTACTCCTACTACGTAGGTGATGTCTAGTCTTACTACCGTTATTAAATAGTTAAGCGATCTAACTATTAACTAGTAGCGACGTATAAAGTCGAGTCCTTTAACTTCTCCTTTATTATTTGTTAACTTCCTCGATACGTCTATAGGTATAGACACTAGTCTTAAGTCGTAGAGGTTGAATCTAGTAAGGAGCTAATCTATAAAGGCTTGCTAATATAGATGAATGCTCCTACTATCGTCCTGCGAGATATACATGCCTAAATAATAGGCGCATTCTCTAAGATCGGAGACAGTAAAGCGCTTTTTTAGCTCCTCCTTAGTTTTCTTAATCTTAGCGAGGTTAGACCCGAAGATGTTAATATTATCTATATATACCGTTATATATAGACCTCTTTCCGATCCTTACTGTGCATTAGCATCTATAAAGACTAATAAGTTATATGCTAAGGCAGTCTAGCCGATAGATACAAGATATTCTCTAAGCTTTTAATACTACTATCGTAGGGCTTGTTTTAGTCCGTAGAGAGATTTCTCTAGTTTGAGAACCTTGCCTTTAGCTTCTAGAAAGCCCTCTAGTAGCTCTATATAGATTTCTTCTTTAATGTCGCCGTTAAGGAATGCGGTCTTAATATCTATCTAGTAATAGTGCTAATTCTTTCTAGCGGCGATAGCAAAGAATAGTTTGTATAAGGGTAGCTTAATAATAGACGCGAAGGTCTCGTTAAAATCAATCCCGTAGATTTACTAAAAGCCTCGTACTATAAAGCGTACTTTATATCGGACTATAGAGCTATTAGGGCCTAGTTTCCGCTTTAGTACCTATCTCCCTAAAAGCGGTCTTTAATAGGTAGGTCGAGTTACTACCTTCTAGGTATAGTTCTTAATTAAGCTATCGTATTCTTCTTTAACTGCTTGCTTCTACTAAGCCGCTTCCGGCGATCGTCTCGTAGTAGCTAGGGTACGAGGTTCCGGATCGAGTATACCGTTTTCGGCGTATAGGAGGCATTTATACCCTCGGCGTAGTTTACTTTTATCTCCTAGTTAGACCCCGCAGTAGTTCGGTTTGCGAACTATAGAACGTATATAGTTTGGTTTCTTAGCGGTACCCCTCCGGTTTGGTTCCGGTTTGGTTTTTTACCCCGCTAGTCTAAGCTAGTTTCCGAGAAAATCCGACTAAACTACGACGATATGCGACGACATGCGACGACCTCGGATTTAGTCCCGGACGCGATAGGGGCCCTATATTGTACACGCTACACGATTGTATCTGTGTTTCGGGCTATTTAGACGTGTTTTAGGATAGGTTTTTGTCCGTAGCCGGCACGTAGCCGGCAAACCGGTCCGTATACCGGTTGCTTAGCAAACTAAACTAAACCAAACTAGAATTTCGGCTTGGCAAACTAAACCAACCCAACCCGGACTACTGCGGGGTCTACTCCTAGTAGGTAGATAGCGGTTATAAGCTTAGGTTTTTACGGTAGTATACGGTAGTTTCCCCCTTTAACCGAACCGAAGTTAAGTAAACTTAGTTTAGTTACTAGATTTGCCGCCTACCCGTTGTTACTTGTATAGTTATCTTCTAACTTCTTCCGTTTTTTCCCTAAGACCTATAGAATACCTTATACTTTAGCCTCGTCTTCGGAGAGGATAATTCTATAGACCTCTATAGCTCTAGAGGGATAATCCCTCTTATAAGTATTCTAGTAGGGGTCTTAGTTTCTTCTTTCTATATATATATTATAGGGGAAGTTATAATCCGAATTGATTTCCTTATTCTTATTTAATAGTTTTGTATAGTATTCGTAGCACTTATCTCTAACTATTAGTACTAATTCCTAACTAGGCTTCTATTAAAGGTAATATCTGTTTCGAATAATCGGATATATATATATATATCTATTAGTAGTATATTCGTTATATAGATATTGTCGGTTACAAGTTCCTACTCGGTTTTCGTATCTTATATATCTTAGGCCTAGAGGTTCTTAGTTCTAAGGTATATATTTCCTAATAGGGTCTTTTAGCTTAGAGCAGGTATTATATAGGTAGTTTCTATTATATATAAGTACTTGCTTAAGGTATCGTTTGTATTTTTATTCCCTCGGAACTCCTTTTTAGCTACCGATTTTTCCTTCGCCCTAATTTACGCATTTTCGACCGTATTTAATATATATTAAGCAAGGGTCGTCTTCTAAGTAAGGAAATTGCTTATTATTGCGAGCGAAGCTCGCCTTACACTAACAAGGGTACTACAGTAGCTAATTGCGCCGAGTTGTCACTACGTGATTCCCCGGATTCTGAAAGCTGAAGCTCTAATTAGCTGAATTCTACAAGAACTGCTAGGACGGCACGGTAGAACACAACCTCCGAGAAAATCACGTATCTAACTTTTACGCGACTTTATTGCGAGCGAAGCTCGCCTTACAATAGCAACGTAGGTACTAATCCAGTTGCTAGAATGCGCACTTAGCTACACGTAACGCTAAGCCGACCCCGGATTTTAGAATCCTATATACCTAATTAGTCAATTTCTACAAGTAGAGACTTTCGGAGCTAGCGCCGGTATCTCCGAACAAGCGCCGACTTCCCGAACAAGCGCCGACTTCCCGAACAAGCGCCGACTTCCCGAACAACCGCCGACTTCCCGAACAACCGCTAGTAAAGCCTTTTGCCTTCCTTCTAATACTTCAAATATATAGTAAAATATATAGTAAAATATACAAACAATTAATAAGAAAATTAATAAGAAAATTAACTAAAACATTAATAAAAGAATTTATAAAACAACTTATAATAAAAGAACCTATAGAAAAATTAATTTTAATTATAGAAAACATACGATTTAAATTTATAAAATTACCGAAAAATATTAAAGGAACGAGAGCGAGAATAAGAGCGAGGAACCCTAAAATTCGCGGCTCCGCTATACTAGGTATATATAAAATTTAAAAACTCGCGGGCGCTACCGCTATTACTACGTAAGTAGAAGGAGCAGAAGTACTTACGTACGGGTACTATCCTAGTTAGTAAAACAATTAACAAAACAACAAACAAAACAACTAATAAAACAACTAATAAAACAACTAATAAAACAACTAATAAAACAATTAATAGAACAATTAACAAAACAATTAGTAAAACAATTAACAAAACAATTAACAAAACAATTAATAAACCAATTAATAAAACGATAAATAAAACAATTAACAAAACAATTAACAAAACAATTAACAAAACAATTAACAAAACAATTAACAAAACAATTAATAAAACAATGAATAAAACAATAGTAGAACAATTAGTAAGGCAATTAATTAAATAATTAATTAAACAATTAGTAAAGCAATTAGTTAAACAATTAGTTAAACAACTAGTAAAATAAATTATATTCTAGTAAATAAATAACTTATAATAAAGTTAAAAAGAAGGTAAATAATAAACTAGAGAAGAAACTAAATAATAAAGCAAATAACAGATTAAATAAAAAACTAGAGAACAAAGTAAATAATAAACTAAATAATAAGCTAATTAATAGACTAAATAATAAGCTAGTACTAAACTAAGTAGTAAGATAGAAAACAAGTAATAAATAAGGATATAAATAAGAGGACTTAGACGTATTAGAAAAAAGAAAACATATAATAAAAATAAATAAGAAAATATAAAATAGGTAAGTAAAACAAGTAAGATACTAAATAGAAAAACTGTAAAACATTAAAGAAAAAAATTAAAAATAGTTTTTTTAATAATATAAAAAGTAGTAATAGATATAAAAAATTAGAGAAAACTAGAATAAAAGTAAGTAATATATATAAAGTTAAAAATAATAAAGTAGTATCTAAAATACTAGAAAAGAAAAATAGTAATACAAAAATATAAAAATACTTATTCCTAATAAACTATTCTAATAGAACTAAATCGTATAATAATAGTAATAGCTTCAAGGTCTAGCTTCGAGGTCTAAAGAACCGAATTAGCTTAGTATATATAAGGCGAAAGCTTCGCTCGCACTCCTCTAGGCACGCGCTAGCCGCCTAGGAGCACATTTTATACTAGTCTCTAGGAGAAGCAGCTTTAATATTTGTCCTTCTTACCGGGTTAAGGTTTAACGAACTTCTACGTTTATAGCTTATATAGGTAGACGTTGTATCGTACGTAGTAGTAATATAGTCTTTCCTCGGAGTATATATAGTTCGATATATAGTAGAAGGTATATTTTTCTTCCTTCGGTATTTTCTTTCCTTTAGAAGGAAGTGCTTCGTTATCCTTAGGTATTAGAGCTTGCGATATAGAGTCTTAGGGGATATAACTCGATCTACTATTAGTATATACCGTATAGGGTCTTAATTCTTCGTATTAAAGCTTCCTTTTAAAGCATCGTTAGTATTTAAAGTTATCCGGTTTTAAGCTACGGATACCTTATATAGTAAGGGAAGGTATTATTTCTGTTCGATATCGGATAGGTAGGTCTTTATTTCCTTCCTTTATTCGGTAGGTCTTTATATAATTTCCGAGGCTACTAAACGACTTATAGTAGTATAGATAGTCTC